GCAGTCATGCCCTGCAAAGCTCCAGAAGTTTTGAGGAAATTACAATGCAAATGAACCTGAATAGCAGGCTCCTGTAAACCCTACACGTTTGGGTTCAAAGCTTCAGTCCCAGTTGGTTGTTTTAAATCTGCAGAGCCACCTGTGAGAACTGATCACTAAACAACAGAACAATTCCTGGGCTCTGTTTATCTGTAATTATCTCTAGATCCAGGGCCCATGCAGCCACCCCTCTCAGGACCCGTCCCGGAAATCCAGGAGCTCCTCTCTTTCTCCTTATTTCCAACAAAAACGCTCCTAACCTCCTGCTTTGGTTCTCTGCTTCATTCCTCAGTATGGGCAGAGCCACAAGCCCAGTACGCACAGTATCATTACTGGACAGTGAGTCTCAACCACCCCTCTTTTCCCCAGTGGCCAGAGACAAAAATGGAGATCTTTCTACATGGAGGGTGAAATGTTAGCATTGTCTCTACAGGACGCCTTCTAGAGCCCAGACTTCTGCACCCCAGTCACAAGGTTGTTTACCTGTAGGGTGGGGCTAGGCTTTCTCAAGTTTTGAGTCACCTTAGAAATGAGTTTTGCCTGTGCTCTCCCCTCCCTGATGGAGTCACAGGCACACACCTGTTCTCAGGTGCTACTCCCTAGAGCAGGAAGATGCAGGACCTGCCTGGTTCAGTGCCAGTACAGCTATACCATGATCCTCTGAATGAATGAGCATATGCAGGACCCCAGAGGGGCCTGGCCATGGTCTTGTGGCTGGCTGGGCTGGTGGGGGTGGGAGCAGAGATGACAGAGGTACATTGTCTCACGGTTTTTCAGGACCCGCCCCACTGGAGGAGTTGTTTGACATACAGTGATTTGAGAGGTGTCGAGAAATCTCTCTTCTTTGAAAGAATAATGCACTGCCTCAGCCAGCGCGGGTGTCAGAAATCCAGCCATTACAATTTTAATGATTGGGGTCAGCCCTCCAACCCCAGTCCCAGCTGAATTCCAAATCCAACCACCACGCTGGCTTTCCTGTTTAGAAAATACACCATGATTACAATTAATTTTCTTCATGGCATATTGTGAACACCATAAGGGTGGTGTTTTGTAAGTTTTATCGGGATAATGACTAATAAAAATGCACCTGTCCCTGGCATCTGTGGGGAGAAGACTCAATCACAGTCTCCCAGAGGAAGGAGGAAGGACAGGCATGAAGGGTAGGGTATCATGGAGGAAGGAAAGAGGGAGCCTGGGACACGAAAAGGCAGAGACTTCCAAAATCATTGTCCTAATTTACCCTCAATGGAGCCTTCCCTAAGAAGCTACCCAGGAGGTCAGTTTTTCAGTTGGCTGAAAATAGCTTATTCAGAAGACCCCATGATCCAATCCTGGCTTGACATTAATCCTGTATGACCTCGGGCAAGGACATCCTCCTTCCCAGCCCAGTTTTCCTCACTGTGAAACCAGGATGTTGTGTCAAACAGGGAAACTGGGTGCTGGAAAAGGGCAATGTGTTAAGTGCACGTGAGAATGATTGTGTGTTAGATATTCGCGATGTGGCAGACACAGGCCCTTCAAGGCCACCATGGCTAGATCTGTATCTCCTGGAGACTCCCCCAAGGTGATGACTGCGTGACAGTTCAAGAGCTGTTTACTGATAAAGTAAGAGGCCAGTGATATATGCCTCACTTGGGGCCCAGTCTGTCTTGCCGCCTATGTGCCCGGAGGATAATTTAGATCAAGATAAGCACAAAGATGTGGAAGAGAAGAAATGAGTGATACAAGTGGAGAGGATGTTGGGGTTCAGGTGTCATGGAGAATGAGATAGAATGCAAAACCCCAAAGCTGGTACCCAGAAAATTACACTGTTATTGTCAATAATCTTGGGAGTAGATAGAGGAGGCATGGTCTGGAGGGGAAAATTAAGGGAAGGATTAACTTTGAAAGAGGGTGACACTGAACAGTGAGAGATATCTGGTCTACCTGAGATGGAAAGCTCAGAAAAGCTTATTAGTCATGGCCCCCACCCAGTGACAGTCATACGTCCAGCATGGAGAGGCTGTGGTTGTATTGGAAACCCACCCTGGGCCAGGCCCCACCCAGCCCCACCTCCACTCACCACATCCTGTGGGACATTTCATTTAACTCCTTTGGGTTGGAATTTTACATCACAAGACAGAGTTGTGGGATTAAATAGGCCAAGGAGTTTGAAACATGCTTTGGAAAGTACACTGAGGTGTTTCTGTCATTTTCCAGGCAGGCTTTCACTTGGTCGTGGAAATGACAGAATGACCCCATCGATGGCTTTTATTGGGCAGATCCTGAGGTATGGGGCAGTGGCCAAAGGTGGACTGGCCCTCCAGAGCTGACCTGCCTTCTTCATCCCAGGCCCTGGGGCCAAGTGCAGGGCCAGGGCTCCTTCCTCCCATCTGGGTACCTTCTTGACTAGGGCTGTTAGATTTAGCAAATAAAAATAGAGTCTGCTGGGTATAGTGGCACATGCCTATTATGCCCGCACTCTACAGGCTGAGGCAGGAGATCAAAAGTTCCAGTCCAAGCTGGGCAATTTAGAGACTTAGTGAGACCCTGTCTCAAAATATAAAATACAAAGCGAAAAAGGGCTGGGAACACAGCTCAGAGTGAAGGTCCTGTGTTCAGCCCCCATTACCAAACCAAACCAAACAAAACTGAACAAAGCCAAGCCCAGCCTGCCCTTTTAAATTTGTATTTCAGGTAAACAAATAATTTTCTAAAGTACGTATGACTTGTGCAATAATTGGGACATTTTCTAGAAAATTTTGTGGTTTACTCTGAATTCAAATTTTAACCGGACCTTGTATTTTTTTTGTAGCAAGTCTACCTCAGGGACTGCCATATGCCTCACCCTGTGTGTGCGTAGCCATCAGCAGCCCACCTCTTGATCAGCGGGCAGGGTCAGCACCACCAAGTGCTGGACTCCTTTCACATCCTCTTCTGCCTGGGCTCCAGGAGAAGCCACACAGACCTCTACATGAATAGCCCCTCTAGAACAGGAAACACATGGGCACTGGTTTCTGGGATGAGCGGGCACCTGTGACTGGCCACTGACACCTCCCTCTATCATGTTTAAAAATCTTTGAATAATCTAGATTTGAATTCAAGTCCCGTGTCTGCTGTTTACTTCCTATGTGATCTTTCTTAGCCTCATTTCTCACCTACAAAGTGATAATAATGGCACTTTCTAGCTTGGCCATAAAGATGAGATGAGATAATAAGCATAAAAAAAACAAACTAGGCACACGGAGAATAAGCAAAAAATGATAATAATTAGCAACAAGAGGATGTTCCTGTTTTCTGTCAGAACTGCTGCAAACTCTATCCTTCCTGTCTTTCTCCTGATTCATCAAGGTCTCCTACAACTTTCTGTCTGAGAAGAGCTCCTCAGCAGCACTGTTTTCAAAAGCTCTTGAGTCTTTGAGTTTGAGCAAACATCTTTGCTGGGTGAAATCAGCTTGAGCAGAGGGAACCAGAGTGCTGGAAATACCTAGTGGGTGGTTTCATCAAAACAGGCCCGTAAAGCAAGTCCCTGGAGGAAGTGCAGGTGGGAGAAGTGGGTGAGGAATCCTCTGTGAGGCAGCAGACAGGGCCACACCAAAGACCCTGGGCAGTTTGGGGGCCCTTCTAAGGGTTCCCAGAATGGCTGCTCCCAAGCAACCCTCAGCCTTCTCTCCCAGGCCCAGCTCTCTGCCTCTGGTGAGTGGGAATGCACTTGTCCATCTGGGATCCGCTGGGCTCTTTCTTTCTTCTTGGACTATCTGAAGCCGCAAGGCCAAGCTTCTCTCTTATTCTTGGGCAGTCAACAAAATGACAGTCTCCTGGCAATTACGGAAATGTCACACTAATCATTACTGAGGAAATCTACTCTCCATTCCCACACCATTGCTATGTGTGGCTTATTTCCTGATTCTGGGCTGGACTCCTCAGCAAGAGGGTTTTTCTCATTAAAAGGGATCCGTTTACAGCTGTGGCACTGTAGAGCTTGAAAGCTTTCTCGCGTTCTATCTTATCTTTCAGCCCTACCCACAAGCTCAAACTTTGCATTCATGGAAGGTGTATTGGATATTGTATTTCCTACTTGCAGTCCTCATGCCTTACTATTCTGATTGTCACTTCTCCATGTTTGGGGGCCTACACTCCCCATCTATAATCACCCGTGTAGAAGCCATTCATACTCATTATTACCAGTGCAATCTTTCCTTAAGATTAGGAATGGCAGGATTGTGAGGGGATTCCTGGCAGTCAGTGGCAGGTTTGCATTAGAACCCATGCCTGAGCCTGCTTGGCTATTGTTCTTTTCTCTGAGCTGGGCCATCTTTGTGTCAAACACTCTCCCATGGTCCTTTGCCTCTGGTGATCTATCAAGCCCTCACGTTCCCCCATTCTTGATCCTCCATGGAAGGCTAGAACCACCACTTAGTCACACAGTGACTCCTGAGCATCTCACGGTGAGTCAGGAGTGGAGCGGGGACAGCACCCAGGCAGCTTGTTCTTGGTATCCCCTTTCTTCAGACCCATCACTACACAACCCTTTCCTCTAAAACAGGCCACTCGTCCTCTTCCTCCAGCCCTTCCTTCTTTGCTCGTTCTCCTTGTCTGCCTCTTCCAAGGTAGCCAGTTGGGGTCTCCAGATCTCTTAGCAAAGATAGAATGTCTTGAACTTGTAAATGGCCAGGCTACTTTTTAATTCTAAACCCAGCACCTCACCTCATTTCCTGGTAAGACTGGGAAATAAGTCATGTGTTCAGTTAAGTCAGGAGTTTATAGCAGGATGAGGGAAATGGGAAATAAGGCCAGTGTGAAAGAAGGAAGAAAGAAAGAGAGGGATCAACCCATTAATCAACTTGAGGCTGTTAGTCACAGATCATGTGCTTGGCAGTTGGAAAAACCATTCCAGTAGGAGTCAGGGAGGAATGATGGAAGGGGCCCTTCTCATGATGTTACTGCTCAGGTTTCCCTAGGGCTCAGCTCTTCCCCGAGCAATGTCTTCTCAGCAACAGCAGCACCCAAGGTGCCCCGGCCAGCAGGCCCAGCAGCAGCAGGTGAAGCAGCCCTGCCAGCCACCCCCAGTCAAGTGTCAAGAGACCCGCTCACCCCAAACCAAGGATCCGTGTGCTCCCCAGGCCAAGAAGCAACGTCCACCCAAAGGCACAGAGCAGCAGAAGTGTCCCTCAGCCCAGCAAGCCCCCAAGAGTAAACAGAAGTAAAGATGCACTGGAGTTTGCCATCTGCCCATCACCCAGGCTACCAGATGGAGCTGCCTCTTCCTCCTGCTCCTCCTTCCTCCAGTTCCGTCTACACAGGAGCTAATGAAGGGCTGCAAGAATTTGTTCCCAACAAAGTGCTAAACAAACACAAGGCTCCTTCCGTATTCCACCTTGGATTGATGCTCTCTCAGGTGGGCATGAGAGAGACTCCATCCTCTCCAGTCTCTAGCTTTGCCAGTACTACGGCTGCATATGTGTTCCAAAGCAAAGAAAGCATCCGGGCATCTTCTGGGGTTCTACACTGACCAAAGGGGACTCCAGAGCTTTGACTTCATCCTTTCCCCAATGTCCCCTCTCGGGCTTCTCTCCTGTTTCCAGGGCAAATTCATTTGTGTTTCCTTTAATAAATTTTTTCTCCTTCTAGGAACTGACTTTCCCTTCCTATTCCCAGCTGCTTTCTGTGAAGCACTTATTGGCTTAGAGGTAATGTTTTTTGGGAAGCGACTGTGTTAGTATCTGTGAGACTTCAAGGAGTTCACTCTGATTCGTACAATTACTCTCTGAAAACTCAGGAATGGAGGGGGGTCACATCTCTGGTAAAGGAGGTGGCAAAACAAACCCAGGAAGAGTTAACAATAATCTGAGAGATTCTCGCCTAACTCTAAGCCCATCTAGGAACTGATCAAAAGGGATGGAAACATTTCGTGCCTCCTGCTGGAAATCCAGCCTATCAGATTAAGCGGGTTTCGCCTCTCTTGGCAGTTGTCATTGTGAAAGGTCAGACGGTACATAAATGGCTTGAGTGCTGCAAAAACATTTATGCAGAAGTGTGCAAATAACTTTTTCATGCACTAGTTTATTGCATACTCATTTTCTATTCCCTCATGAGCACATTCCAGTGGGAACTTATTTCTTCACTCTGCCAACCTGATTGCTCTGGGGACAACCTATCCCGAGTCTCAGTGTCCTCTTTGGAAGTCAAAGTCATTTTCTTACTTAAGACAAAAAACTGTCTGGGAGACAGTGACATACAGAGAACTTGTACAAAGTATACAGGCCTTGGTTTTGTCAGTCGGACTGTAGGCAGCTCATACAAGAAGTCCTACTTTTGTTTGTTTGTTTGTTTTGCTTTGATACAGGGGACCTTGAGCTTGCGAGGCAGGTGGTGGCACCACTGAGCTAAATCCCCGGCAAGAAGTCCTACTTTTGCAGCTGCTGTCCTCACCCTCCTAATGCTGGTGTAAAAATGGTCTCCTACACCAGAAAGAAGGAGCAAACCTCCTAGGTGTAAAAAGAGATGAGCCTTTGAAGTAGAGACCCAGGGTAAAGACTAGCTAAAGACACAGCCAGACTCCCTACCCTTAAATTTTATTCTTTTGCAATTTTTCTCCCTGAATTTTAGTTGGTGACATCAATAATAAATTACTTCTTCATGTAACACACTAGCCTGAAAAGGAATTAGCAGCCACCTTTTCTATTTTCCCTTAATATCATTGCCCATGGCTGATATTTTTAGGCAGGAATTATTTAAAAGTGGGGATAGATATTAACCAGGAAAGTCCAAGTCAAAACAATTAATATTTATAAATGACTGTTTTTAACCCTAAGGAACTCTTTGGCAGCCTTCCTGAACCCTAATCTCTGCATCCTGAAGTGACTCCCCTCTGTCAAGCAGAGGGGCTCATGCCTGATGGCAGCCCCCTTCCTGGATTCCTTTCGCCCAAGTCCTAGCCAGTCTCTTGGTGGCAACCTGTGAGTGCCATATCCCAGGAAAACCCTGACACACACACCCCACATACACTGACTTCTGGGTTCCAGGGCTGGCAGATTGCACAACGTTCAGTTTCTAGGACAGCCAGAAACGATAGAGACCATGAACGTTCCTGCTATTGTTTGTGTTTCAGTGACAACCTCATGGGAGAAGGGACCATGCCCATGAGTTCCACGTCAGTGGCCAAGGACAGAGTCATATCTGTCTGCGAACCATTCCCTCATACAAATGGCTTTCATGGAATTTTGTCTTTCCAAGACTTACAAAGCAAAACTGACCTACATCGAAGTCCTACTCATATATGTGGTGAGAGCAGTGATTTCTTCACTACTGGTTCCTTTCTACATAAAGCAAGATAATGTCAGAATGCAAACAGACACGTGTACCATTTTGTTGAACTTCACTGACCAAAACAGGACTCAAGAACTCCCCCTAATTCCTGTATATTCCGAAGTATAGAAACTCTTCATTTACTCTAAATTTCCCTCACACTACCCAAAACACATCATTATCGAACAATGCCAGCCAGTTCACTCTTCTCTAAATACAATATGCATTTAGTTTTGATCCTTCTTGTTGTGTGTGTTTGCAACCGTGTCTGTGTGTGTTTTGTTTATGCTATTTCTTCTGCCTAGAATATCAGTTTTCCACTGTGCTACTTAGGATATTCACTTAGCTTTAAAAGTTTGGTTCAAGTATTTCCATGGAGTCTCACTTAACATGTTAGAAAAACCTGGTAACATTGATAGCTCTCATAATTCTTTGTAATTTTTTATGAGTACACTTATTCTATTAATTAAGCATATAGTTATTTTCACTATAGTTCCCCTTTGTGTGGCACTGGGGGTTGAACCAGAGCCTTTGCATGGAGCTATATCCCAATCCCTTTTTATTACTTTTCTTTTAAACAGGTCTTGCTAAGTCACTAAATTGCCCAGGCTACGCTTCAACTTGCAATCCTCCTGTTTCAGCCTCCCAGAGTGTTGGAGTTATAGGCATGTACCGCCATGGCCAGTTTATAATTCATTCTTCACGTGTCCAATTCCCCTATTATATTATGAATCCTTCAGGCACGGGGATCTTACTGATCTCACTATCCCCAAATGTACAATGACCGGATTTCCAAAAGCATGGAAGGACTGCTTCTAGGAAGAGCAGGTTAGCTTATGGCAAACCAGCATTCTAGCATCTCTCTGAGCAAAATTTATAAGGGATCTGCACTTAGCTGCTGTCCCAAAGACTCCAGAGTGAGGAGAAGCAGAGAGAGGAGCCAAAAAGTGTTCACCGAGAATAATTTGTGAGCTATGAATGTCAACAGAATAAATACCTAAGCCTTTCACTGTGCAGGACCTTGGCTGAGGAGAGGGAAACCAAGAAGGTTCATGCACGCTATGAGGGAATTCAATCAGGTGGTTGGTTTTTCACTAAACACAAACTCAGTGAACTCTGGGAAAAGTTAGGTTAGGACAGTAAGTATCTAAGCAGAAAGTCTTTGAGAAGCAGAGTTAAATATTTAGCAAGCTTAGAGTCCACGAATGGAGCTTGCAACCTTCTGGAAGATTTAGCAGTTCAAGAGTTAAGAACTTCAGGTCAGGTGAGAATGTGATCTGTAGGATATAAGCCTAATAGTATTACTCCTTGAGGACAGTAATAACTGGGAGGGGACACAGTGGAACTTCCTGGGATTCTGAAAACATTTTAAGTTTCATGGATTGTGGTTATGTAGGTACATAATTATCTCAAACAATACAACAAGGTGCACATAAGGTGTGTGCCTTTTCAGGGTTAGTTTATCTTCAATAAAGACAGAATTAGCATTAAAATCATGCCTATTATCTTAAGTAAACTTAATGAAAGCTGCATGATATTTATATTTAAAATACCAAACATCACCGAGAGAAAGAAAGAATCAAGAGATATACCGTGTTCATTCATTGGAAGACTATTTTATAGAGATATCAATTATCCTAAAGTTGATCTAAGATGTGCAAATTAGAATGAAACCCTGATATCATGACACAGTTCAATTTATGGGCTAGAATTCGAAGGACAGATGATACCAGGTGAGGATTTGGACAGTTAGGCACTGTGGTAATTGTCAGTGACAGGGTAGACTGGAAATTCCCTTTAGAAAAACATTAGACATTATTCTGCAAAATTCAGCATGTCTTACCACGTCCTGCAAATTTCATTTTTTAGTATATGAACAATGGACATGTAGATGTGTGCTCGATAAAGCACACCCACAAAAATGTTTATAGTAGCAATATGTATTGTAGTATAATTCCAGTTGAAGTTATCTCAAACATCCATCACTAGTAGAGCAGATATATGAATTGTGATGTAGTCACACAGTGAAATATCATGAGACCAGACACCACACTGCATAACATTGATAGATCTTATAAACATTTAAGAAAATAGACACCTAAAGTACATACTGCAAGATTTTTATATAAGTCAAAAGGACTAGAAGATGAACTTTAAAGGAACTTGGCAAAGTTTTGTCTTTATTTGGAAGCGACTTAAACAGATAAATTCACTTTGTGAAAATTATTGAGCTGTTTACTTTCCTGTATAATTTTATCTTTGTAATATGAGAAAAAAAGAAATGACATATGCTATGTACATGAACCAATTCCCTACAGTGAAAGTGATCATTATGTACTGTGAACACATACTGATAAAAGCAAACAAACAAACAAACAAAAGATTTACATAGATTTAAAAAGTACCTAGCCACATTTCCATCCTGGGTGGTTTAAATGTTTTTCTCACTCTGCCTGTGGACATTTCAGCAATTACTACCTCATTGTATCTTCAAATCCCATCCACAAATCAGTGAAATTAAAAGTTCTGTCCTCCTGAGGAAAATGTATCTGCAGAGCTTATAAGCACTGCAGGAGGGGAGGGAATGTTCACTACTCTCTCTTCCCACCTCTTTTCCTCTTCCACATTCTACCAGTCCAAAAATTTTCTCCATCCTAGGAAAAAACAAAGTCCCACCTGATCCATCTGTCACAACCTGGTTGCTTCAAACTCTCTGGCCTCCTCTTCTGCCCAGGAATCCTGGAGGGACCGACTGACCAGGCCTGGTGACCTGCGCTGAAGCTTTTCCGACCAGATGCTCATTTCCTTTGTGCAACAGGTTACTTATGGAGACTGAAAAAAGTTGAAACCCAGCTGCTCCATTTCTGTGTCATGTGATTGTGTCTAATCACTTAGGTCC